AGATTTTATAATATAATACTCAGACATTTTATTTTACTTTTTTCATTGTTTATAGTTCTAAATATCAAATGAAGGATATTAAAATAAATCAAAACAATACCTACAAAAAAAGAAACATTTTTTTTTTTAAAAAGGTTAGAATTGAGATAATATGGACATCAAGATAAGATGGAATGTATATCCATTACAAAAATAATTGATATTCGTTTCAAAAATTCTAAATAATTCAAAAAAATCATGGGCGGGAGAAACATAAAAAATTCAAAAAACAATTCCGTTAGTAGTAAAAATCGAAAATATGAGCATGAATCTTCATTTTTTTTAGGTTTTTTCTTATTCATATTATATAGTAATTGATATGAAAAATACATATAATAATAAATTTAATTTTATATTCTTAAGGATGTGAGTATATAATATACAAATATTTATATGCTTAAATATCTTATACTAAAAGAGTATAAGTTTATTTTATGTTTACAATTAAAATGTTAATTGTTTAATTATATATAATTAAATTACGTATATAAGAATATAAAATGTAGCAACATGGATGGTCATATACAAAACACATGCAAATAATAGTATAAGAAAATATTATTAAATCAATTAGATTATAGAATATATAATAGTATCTAAATGATCTATTTACATATTTAAGATAAGGAAAGAATCCCACAAAATCTGAACAAACAAATTCCATTCAAAAAAATTGCATGGGAAAAATAATTCAAACAAATTGCATGGGCGGGAAAAAAATAAAAATTTTTAAGGAAACGAAACACAAGCGGGAATTTGAAGCGGGAAAATGAAACAATTATTTTTGAGTTTTTCAAACATTTTTCCTTAGCTCTTTTATATAGTAATAGATTCGAACCAATTTTCACCGGTTAATTCGACGGTTCGCTAGGTGACCAGTAGTTCGATATGATTCGATTTAATTAAGAACTATGATCGATTATTTTAACAGCACAATAAATTTGAAGACTAATGTGCAATATAACACTTACTTAGACACCATATTTTATTTTATTTTTTCTTGTGTTTGTGTTTTGGCTATTTTGTTCTTATAGTCAAGTAAAAGCAGTCACTTACAGCCCAGCCACTTTCAACAGCTTCAAATTCATTGGCAGGTCCGGTTTTTAGAGCTACTCGGGAGGTCGAATATTCGTCATCTAATTCAACGTTTGGATTCCAAACTTTTATATCTCCTTTGGCTCCAATATATGCAAAGCCTTCGGTGTGCAATATCGACACCTGCATTTTTTTCACGGTTCGTATTAACTAAAAAAGATATCAGTAAAAAAAGCCAATGTTCATGTAAATACCCCCCTAAATTGTAGCCTAATTAATATTCCTATACTTGCATTATTTACATATTATGGGAGGTGTTCTGTAATGCAAAAGGAGCTTTTTGTAACTAATTTGACATTGAAAAACCACGATCATGCATGGACTTATACCGAATGATTCTTGTACAAGAACGTAAGGTTATCGTTAGCTTGCTTGAAACGATTCAAATCCATTGCCATCGGCCTCTTTTTCGCGTAATAATCGCCCGACAAATATTGCCCTTTGGAGGAAGCATAATTTTTTCGTATCCTTCGGATAGGAATTGTTCCCTTTGGACAAGTTCCACTCTTATGCCATGTTTGTTTGGTCAAAGTCACGTAATAAGGTCTTTCGTTTTTCCCAGCATATGTTTTCTTGTTCGCTTCCGATTCTAATTTTAAGTTGTAGCTCGGTTTCAACTGCGTATAAGAATGGAGGGTTTGTGAGAATGAGATTAACAAAGGAATTTTTAGAACTATAATTGTGAGTAGTATTATTTTTGCTAGGACGAGCTGTTAAAGGAAACAAGCTCGAATTCGGCTCGGATCGTTAGACTTGAAAAGGTTAAAGGTTTTATGTAATTTAGCATAATTCAGCTTGTTAAGACTCGTTAACGGAGCCTGTGATCGATTATCAGAAGCTTGAATTCGAATCATTAATTTACATGACGTATACAATAAATACTATGCATGAATAGCATTATTATTTCAGTACGCTTATTAATCTTGATGATCTGAAAAACAAACAAAAAAAAAAAATTTAATTAATACCTGGATTTTGTGATCCGTGAGAGAGGGATGATCAAGAGCTGGTTGCTTGTAGATGTCTATGCAATCAATTATATCACCATCTTCACTCTTAACAAGTTCAACATTTTAGTTCATATATGCAAATTAATTGTTTAAAGAAAGCAAAGATAAAAGAAGTTGAAAAAAAAAAGCAATCAATAATAATTAAATGTAACGGGAGATTCTATGGTCCCGTTACAGAACCATTCCGTCGGGGTTTGTAACCGTTAGATCAACTATCCACAACGGTTACATGACGATCTAACGGTTATAAATTCCGACGGAATGCTTCCCGTAACGGGACTGTAGCATTTCCCAAATGTAACAATATTGGCATGTCTGTAACTGAATATGAATACCTGAATGCTCCTAACTGCTGCATGATGGTCACCCTTCACATTTATGAAGGTAGTGTGCAATAAAATGAGCACAATTACAGGTAATTTAAAGTCCATTCAAAGAGCTAATAATAATAACTACTTGATTTCAAAAGGAGATTGAGATGTTTGATCTTGTGAATGAAAGAGTGAATTGCAAGTAAATTTCTGTGGTGTAAGACAAAGAATTGCACTAAAATGTGCTTGAAAACTGTGAGCTCTATTTAAGTTAGGTATAATACAATTGATGTGAACTCACTTTTCTTATGACTTACTTTCCATATCATATGAATGTCACTTGGACATGCATGTTTTGAATTTTGTGAAACATGTAAATTGGAAGCAATTGTTATTGAGAATATTCTTTGTGATGTGGATTTTTTTGCTAAGGGATTTAATTTTCTTTAAGAAATATATTTATTCTATTTTTTCTCATAAATAGAGTCCAACATGAAGTATATAAATTTGAAGGGCTTAATTATATAATTATATAAAGCCCAATCCACAATTTTGATGGTTAGTACAAATTCATGGTCCATAAACAATGGGCCTGATGGGATTCGACCCAACAAAAAATATTAAACTTTTTGTTGATAACCATATAAATCAAACAAAGGCATAAAAGGAACTTTTAATTATTTCCAGTACTCTAACTAATATTAACTTTAAATATTTACTAAATACAATATAATAGTATAATAGTCCCTTGAAACTTGAGAGCAAACCTCGCAAGGACTGGTTTTTTGTAGAGATATTAAACGAAACGAATCGCTTGTGAATTCGACTGTGGTCATTTATGTTCGAGTTTCTTCATTTAGCTAATGAATTGAGTTCTCACTAGATTTAATAAATAATTCGTGTTATATAATTTTATAAATTCTAACATATTCGATTTACGTGTCAATAATGTGAATCAAAATCGAGTTTCAAGAGTTCAAGCTCAACTCATAGTATTAATCGTATATTGATGAGATTTTCTATTATAGGACATCTAATTCGATTGTAAAATGGTCCGTCTAAACTCTAAAGTCGTCTCCTACACAATTTTTCTATTGTTGGAAAATTATTTGAGTAGAAGAAATTCACAAACATGGGAATAATTACGTGTCGCTCTCTTAATAACACTGTAGAATGTTCTGTGACTGTAGCATCTATACTTATATAATAAGTCATCATATTTACTATATTTAGTAGTAAGAAAAGTCAACATTAATTAGTGCATCATATTTTTAGGTTAGTATTTTATTTACTTATTTTATTTAACCGCTATTGTATCTATCGATCGAATATATATTATAAATCTCAAAATATTGAGCCATCGTCTTCGTCCCTGTCAACCTCCCGCGAACAAAAAAATATCCTCAATTAGTCTTATATTCAAAACAATGAATTAAGGATTTGACTTAATCAAACAAGTTAATAGGTCTAATAGGCCTATGCTGAAGGCTCGAATTGTAAGAATGTTTTTTCAAGATCGGGGCAACACATACAAATCCTATCTCGAGTTGGTTCTTCATGATAAAACTGTAAACCAAATTAATTTTACTTTTTTTTTTATTTCGAACTATGAAACGTATATTTTCTACTTCTTTAATTTTATTGTTTAAATTTAAAATTTTGTCTTTCGTTGGCCTCTATGGTATAATCAGTCGGGGGGCATGAGAGGCGGTGGTTTACCCATGCCAACAACTCAATTCATCCGATTACTATAGGGATGAACCCAATCCGGAATATGTATCTTTAAACCTCTCCTTTTCCCGAGGAAGCAAGCAAAGCTAGCCCGAAGGGTGTATCAAAAAGGACCCCCGCAACCCTCAACGCTTGGACCCCTATACACCCCGAAACTCTTCCTCAGTCAGGCTTGGACAGAATAGGCGAGCAAGTACAAGTATTAGTAGCATAACAAAAATGCCTTCTCTGTCTTCTCCTCTCCACATGCCAAGGTCTATTTGGCTTCTTTCTTTTTATCGTGTATGTATTCAGATATTTAAATTATTTATATTTTTTAAAAAATTAATTTTTTATTGACTACTTTTTTGTACATGTTTAGGGAATCGTATTGCGGCATGGCTACGGACAATCAACTTGGCTGCGTTTAGAGAGAGGAATTTTGAGGAGGGCATGATCATTTGTATAAAGAATTACCAAGTTGACAGCAATCTAGGAAAGTACCGTTCGACATCCAGTGATTTTAAGATCATGCTACACGGGAGCAATTATATGTTTTTGTTTCGCATGTAACTAATAGAAGGGGTTGAAGATATTAGTTTATGAGTTGCCCAATAATAAAATTCATAATGTTGTGTACAAGTAGGTCTTTCATAATATATGATTGTTTCTTTTTCGAATACTATTTTTTGTACAATTTTCCTGCGTATTATAAAACTTTTATTGAATATTGCATCTTATAATATAATATTCCCCAAATAAATATATCTCGTGCCTAGCACATATCACGTACTATATATATTGCGTATATTTTTTTATTTATTTATATAATTATAAAACTGTATAAATAGCCTTAAAATTATACACTTAGTAGATCTGTACTAGTTTTTTTTACAAGCCAACAAAAAATTCAACAGCCAAAGACTTGTGATCCTTAACCAGTTAACTAATCTTTGAGAGGTTGACACGTGTTTCGCGTGCCTTGCACGCGCCAATTTCTTATTTGAGTAACTGTAAAAACCGCAGAGTCCAACAACTACTGCACGTAAAAGGACCTGACAGTTGGATTGATGCCTTTGCCCATTGTTTTAGCTAATTAATTACTCGCTCAAATCATTTATACGAATTTTGTAAACAATGGCCATCTTATAATTATACAAAATATTTTTTGTATTCAATTATATAAATTAAAAGCACCCAAGAGGGATTTGATTCGAAAATCCTTATGAAGTATGATTGTATAAATGATAGTTTGTCCAAGATAAATCTTTGTTTTGACAATTACCATTTTTGAAAGTTCATTCTTTGATGGACATGTTAAAAAAAATTATATAATACGTGAATAAAAATATATATTAATATTATTTATCGACATACTTTTACTTGTGTTATTTTTTAAAATATAATATTTATACATAAATAAAATTATTCCTATTATATAAAAAAAATTCATGTAGTATTTTGAAGAAATTAAATAAAAGTTATTTTTGATAAATTTAGCTGATGACTGATAATTAATTGATAGCTATAAGTGAATTTCATAATAAAAATATTTGGTAAATTAGTTGAAAAATTAGTTTAAATAAAAATTTTAACAAGTATATTTAAAAATAAAATTATCTAAACTTATAAGATATGCTGAGTTTTTCCAAAAACCTCGGCTTACAAAACAAAACTTATATGCATACAGAAAAATTATTAGTTAACGAAATAATCGGCAAGCATGATTATTATGCTTACAAAACACAAAATTAGTATAGTTTTACTCTTACAAACACTTTAATTAAGCTATGATTACAAAAAAAGTTAGTCTAGTCTACCTAATATACTCGATGCGCTGTCGTATCATCCAGCTGTTTTTCCGCCACTTGCCAGTCTGTAAAATTCGGGCAGCTGCCCGCACAGCCTGCGTCTGCCCGATAACCTCTCGGGCTATAAAGCGCCATTTTCGCCTACAACACACTCACTCACTCTCTCTCACATACTCACACTTCTCAAGCTTTCAGCACAAACGCAGCCGGAGAAGAAATTGCAATGGCGATGTCTAAAGCCGGAGTCCTGGCGGCGATAGCCACGATCGTCGCTCTCGTCGGAAGCTCGTTCGCGCAGGAGGCGCCCGCGCCTGCTCCGGCGTCTCCAGCCAGCATCGCGTCGCCTTCACTCGCCGTCGCCTGCGCCACCGCCGCCGTAGCAGCGTTCGTCTTCGGATCCGCCGTCAAGATCTGAAGGTTTTAAACGTGTGTGTGTGAGTGTATAGGACGGTGGTGTTTTAGGGATTTTACCACTTGATTTGTTTGTTTGTGTGGTTGTGCAGATCTGTGTTGATCTGGTGTTTGTTCGCTGATGGAGTTTGATTTTTAGGAGATTTGTTATTTGGTGATACGCTGTTTTTTATTTCGTTTATGTACCTATTAATTTGATACCTATATTTGAGTCTCATTTTATTGTTTTTATTGAATATCGTTGTGTTTTATTGCTTCTGGTTGGTTTTTTTTTTTTTTTTAC